TTATTTTTTCTCTGTGATTTTGACATGTGAATTTCTTTTGTAGTTTCTGATTCTTGTGTGAGACTCAAGCTTTCAAGTTTAGGTCTGCTGCTTTTTGCAAACTTTATATGCCTTTATGGTTTACTTTTTGGGCATGAAAAGCTGATTCCTCTAAGCTTCCGGTTCTCTCTTTTGATTTTATATTGGAGTGGCCAGATTGCTTTTCTCTTCAGGAGTTCCCACAGAGGCCCAAGTCAGATGAGGATCAGATGCTCTCAGGCTTTCTCCTAAGGTCTGGATTCCTCCAAGAAAGATTTTGGCCTCAGGAATTTGGGGGTTGGACTGACCTGCAAGCAGGTCCCAGGAAAGATACTGGTCTCAGCCAGCCATGCCACCCAGAGATGCAATGGGAGATGGGGGTGGGAAGAGGCCCCAAGGGCTCCTGGGGACTGCACTGAGGAACTGGGTTGGTCTGGATGCAAAGGATCGGGAAGCAGAAAGTTCAGCCCCTGGGTCCAGGAAAGAGGCTAGCAGCAAGGAAGCAGCCCAGGGAAGCAGAGGGAGGTGAGGACAGGACCAGGCCCAGACTGCTCCTGGGGACCACAAGAAGGAACTGGGTTGATCAGGATGCAAAGGATCAGGAAGTAGTGTGGTTCCCCCAGTGTCTGGGGCACCAAGACAAGGAATGAGACAGTACCCAGGCTAGGAGGAGAGAAGGGTTGGGGAGATGGGAGGGTGAATGACACTGAGAGAGTCAAGGCGCGGGTAGAGCTATGGACTTACCCAGGAGAGAGGCTGGTGGGTTGTGTAGGCCCAGGGAAGCAGAGGGAGGTGAGGGCGGGACCAGGCCCAGAGGGCTCCTGGGGACCTCAAGAAGGAACTGGGTCCATCTGGATGCAGGGGATCAGGAAGCAGTGGTGGCCCTGGGCGGACAGGTCAGCCCCGAAATCCAGGAAAGAGGCTGGTGGGCCGTGCAGCCCAGGGAAGCAGAGGGAGGTGAGGGCCTGTAAACATATGTTTAAGGAGGGACTAGAGAGATGGCTCAGCAGTTAGGAGCACTGGCTGCTCTTTGAGAGGACCTGGGTTTGAATCCCAACATCCACATGGCAACTAACAACTAACCCTAACTCCAATTCCAGGTGATCCAATGCCCCCTTCCAAGGGCACAACACTGATGCACTTACATATATGGCAGGCAATACACTCATACACATAAAATAAAAATAATTTTTTTTTTAATTTTAAGGAAAAAAAGGGTGGGGATTGGAACACAGCTCAGTGGGTATAGTGCTTACTTTGTAAGCATGAGGACCTGAGTTTGGATTCCCAGCACCCACATAAAAAGCTGGGTATCAGCCAGGCATAGTGATGCATGCCTTTAATCCCAGCACTTGGGAGGCAGAGGCAGGAGGATCTCTGTGAAATTGAGGCTAGTTTAGTCTACGTAGTGAGTTCCAGGCCAGCTGGGGCTACAGGGAGACCCTGTCTCAAAAAGACCAAAAAAAAGTTGGATGTGACGTCTTGCATCTGTAATTCCAGTGCTTGGGGGAGAGGGAGAACAGGTAAATCCTAGGGACTCAGTGGCTGGCTAGCCTAGTGGAAATGGCAAGCTCCAGGTTCGGTGAGAGACCCAGTGTCAAAATATAAGGTGGAACATGATCCAGGAAGACAACCAGTGTCAACACATCTGGCCTGCACATGGACACACACAGACAAACACATCTGCATATGTACTCAAGGCGCACATGAAATGAAAGACAAGAATTGTTTTGGTGCTGATGGTTGAGTCTGGGCCTCTGTGTACTGACCTCGAGTCTGGGCACATGACTGCCACCAGCATTCTCATCCATGCCTTTACTGATCAGAAGCTAAAAGAAGAAAGGTTGTGCACAGTCGCCTGTGAAGCAAGCCCTTCTTAATCCAGTAATCGTTTTCTGGACACTGAGGTAGATTATGTTTGCAGAGGATTAGCTGTTGGCTTGGTGTGCTTCCATCAACAACTAGAATCCATTAATTAGAATATAAATTCCATTCTTGCAAACACTTGAACTACTAGATGCCTTTTACAGAAACCATGTTTTATTCCCTCAAAGAAAATCAACTCACAAGATTATTAAACCTAAAGGCTAATTCTTTTTTTAGCCCTTCACTATCCTTGCTGCTCTTAAGTTTTGAAACTGTTGACAGATATTCCCAGAAATGCTTAGGGTTCACCTTCTGATTTATTACTTCCCATTCTTGATCCACACAGAAAGAGTGTGTGGATTAAACACAAAGACAGTTCCAAAATTACTTTATTAACTGAAGCAGAAC